AAGAATACTATTTCCAAACTTTTTGTAGGAAAGATGAAGAGTTATGTTAGATGTATCAACGTAAATTATGAAGATTCACGTATTGAAGATTACTATGGTATATAGTAGTAAATATATATATATATAAACCTATAAATTTTTTTAAAAAAATTAGTTTAAGCAATGTTTAATTTTATTACGATAGATATTCAACTCAATGTAAAAGGGTGCAAAACTTTAAGTGATTCTTTTATAGAATATATTCGTGAAGAATCTTGTGAAGGAAATAATAAATACCAAACTAAAACATATGGATTGCAAGTGAGTTACAATGTTGCTGAAAATTACATTAAATGCAAAGGTTTTGACTCTAATTGTTTATAGGATGCAAAGAAAGGAGTAATTTTTGAAAGTTTTCCGCCAGTACTACGAATAAAATTAAAACGGTTTGAATATGATATGCAAAAAAATACTACAGTTAAGGTATTTATTATGACTTCTAGTCTTAAATTCAATAATTTGTTGGATGAAAAATTAATACTGTACACAGATAAATGATCGTCATGAATATCCTATGGAAATTGATTTGCAAAGCTATTTATCATCGGATAGCGATAAATCAAAACCGCATTATTATTTGCTTCATGGGTTTGTAAATGTGGATTCAGTATTTTCAATGATATGATTTTTAAACCATTTTATTAATAACTTTTGTTATTATATTTAGAGTAATTGTTCACAGTGGTGACTTACATGGAGGAAGGTATTACGTTCTTTTAAAACCAGGAAAGAATGGCAAATGGTCTGCATTTTAACAAATAAATTAAAACCTTTAGATTGTAATAATTAGTTAGATAACTAAAATTAATTATCATAAAAGGTCCAAATTTGATGATTTTAAAGTTACGCCTGTAACAGATAAAGAAGTACTTGAAGATAATTACGGGAATGAAATAGCAATTGGAACAAATCTTAACCAATTTAAAAGTGCATATATATTAGTATATATCCGCGAATCTGATATCGACTTTGTTCTATCTCCGGTACTTGATAAAGATATACCAGAACATTTGCGTAAGTGTACTCATTTATGAAGTGTTGCAGTTTGAGACTGGTTGTGAATTTATCTTTCACATACATGTTTAATAGAAAGATGCTTAGCTGAAGAGAAGGCTTTATATGAACAGAGAAAAAAAAGAAGCTAAAGAGCGTCATTTATATTTAACTATTAAGGTAATTACGCGCCGTATTTTCACGTAATACATGTGCGTCATTTCGAATTTTGACCGAATTAAGCTTAATTAGGTTAAAATTCGAAATTACACCCCTGCGCGTTATTACGTTAAAATATGGTAACTACATTATAAAGTATTAATAATAATTTTGGATTATTAAATTTTATCCAACTCAATATTAGATTGTGACTTTGGCTACTTTTGAGCGTCATCAAGGGTTTGATCTCGTTAATTTTGATGATCGGCAATATTCAATATCTGAAGTTCCACAATTTAAGGTTTTAAAAAGTGAAACATACAGGACTTTAAAAACTATGGTCTCTCAACAAGTCGGGATTCCATATGAGCAAACAAGGTTGTGGATTTTAGTAAATCGCCCTAATAAAACTGTCAGGCTAGATACTCCAATATCAGACCATTTTCTTGACATGAGTGAGTCATGTGTAGCATACATTTTTACTACACATATTATACATATTAAAGTTTTGATTAACTTTTATGATGAATAGCTATGGAGGAAATTTGCTTGCAACATGAACTTAAATTGTTTTTGGAGGTGGCAGATAAACCAATTGACGGCAAAGAAGTAACTTGTATTTAAAAGTTTGTTGTATATATGTTATTAAAACATGTATTTTCTTACTATTTAAACTGCTATTTGTTTGATACATAGGCATGGTTCCCGACACTAGAATATAGTTCTCTTCTATTAGTTTTCATCAAGTACTTTAATCCCAATACACAATCTTTAGAGTATGTGATTTAACCTTATTTTATTAATTCATTTAATATGAGAATTAATCTCTTATACCTATGTAAACAGAGGAGTGTGTCATTTATATGTTAGAAAATTTGGTAATGTTGGTGATATTATTCCAATTCTTTGCGAGAAAAAGAACTTTCCACCACACACACTCTTGAATATATATAAAGTAAGTTTATTTTCATATACAATTATTTTTGTTGATAGTAATGATAAATTTATTTTATTAAAATACAGGAAATAAAACCAACCGAGATTAAGGAAATGAAACCTGAATTGACTTTTCAACAATCTGAGATACAAGATGGTGATATAATTTGCTTCCAAAAAGCTTTAACAGAACAAGAGCAAGTTATTTATTAATCTTATCTTGTCTCGTGTTTCAATTCATTTTTTTAAAAGAAAACTTCTGATTCAATTTAGAGTGCAAGAACATACTACTGCAGGTCGTATTTGTGACATTCCCACATTCTATGAGTTATTAGTTATGTGTGTCGTTGTCCAATTTAAACCAAAACATAAAGACTATAAACAAGAACCTGAATTTGAGTTAACTTTAAATAAAAATTATACATATGATGAAGTATATAAAATTTATTTTTCACATTATTATAAATTGTAAAGTGAGGATGTATTATAGTGAAGTTTCAGATAGAAATTCATAAAAATGTCATACTCACCGCAATATCTCGTATTTATTTAATAATTTATTTAACTATACATTTATTTTTCTTTCTTCATACTTTATAGATTGCTAAACGCGTTGCTATTTTTTTAAAAGCGGATCCTTTGGCATTACGATTTACAACGGCGCATCCAACTTCCGGTACATTCAAAACTGTAATTAAAAGTACTACTACACAAACACTATCAGAAATGCTTCAAACAAACCATCAGCCTAATTTAGCGAATCTTTTGTATTATGAGATGCTTGACATTAGTATTATGTATAGAGGATAATAGTATGTTTACTCGTTTTTAAATTTTATTTTGAAAATTTTAAGTTGCAAATAAATATCATTACGCGTTATTCTATCGCATTATGATCATCTGATTGGTTGTAATCATTGAATTTTCATTGGCTGCTTAAGAGTAAATGTCCTGTACTACAATCGGCCGATTATATCAGATTAAGTTTTCCAGAAGTAGGGTTGGATTCCTGATAGGACCGTTTAAGGAACGGTCTTTTTGATTTATTTTAATAAAGCCTATAAATATAATAATTATTTATTAGCTTATATATTTAAAATTAATAATTAATTTAATTTTATAATACAGTCAACCCCCTCTATAGTCACCTCTATAGTCACAAAACTAATATAATTACAAATTTATTTTAACCAATTATTTATAACTATGTGGTGCTGGAAGTCTATACTCAACGAATTGGTTCAATTTTTTAAATGGCTATAACTTTTATCTAAGAGGTTTAGAAAAAATCTAACTAGTAACTTTATAGAGCTATATCAGCTCTACATATCTGCCAAATTTCATTTCAAAATCTCATCACTGTAAAGAGT